TAAGAAGAGGTAGCACATCTTTACAAGAGCTTTGTTTCAGAACCAAACCGATTATTTTCAAATGCTCTATCACTGATCAAGAACATTGAGTGATCTTGAGTGTTAAGTGATCCTACTGCATATTAATAGCATACATGGTCCTTGATCAGCTGACATTTGTTCACAGTTTGAGATTGTGAAAATCAGCTGTTAAAAGCTGTTAGAAGTAAAATTAGACGTCAAGATGAAAGAATACTTTTATTTTGTTAGATTCATTTGTGAAACACACCATTACAGGTACCAAGGGCTGATAATACTTTCAGTCTTCATTGTTTTCAGCAGCTGTTACCTACTGCTGAGCAGTTGTCTCTCTCCCACTTGTGTTGTCCCTGACAGTGCTCGTGATCCACAGGAAAGTGCCATTGCTCTTGTCCTCACTGCCTGCTGTTTGCAGCATGCTGTTTTCACAATATCGTTTCCCTTTTGGACAAGGAAGTCTGGGCAGTGATGCAGGTAAACAATCTTCAGTCTCAATTGAGAGAGACTGCTGGGAAGGTGTTGTCAGCGCCAACGCTGAATTTTTTCACTTGAACCCAATTAGACAGAGCGAGTTGAAGGTTGTGTCTGCATCGGCGTGAGGTAGACACATTGCAGTTCAGTCTCTGCGATTTGGTTTTTGTTCTGAAGGATGCCACACTTTTTCCGTGCTAAACTAAACTATTGTGCATTCATCCAGCGCATGGGTCTGATCAGGTTTTAGGGATAACTTTATACCTAATTAATGTTCATCAAGCAACAGTCAGGCAGCTAGCCAATGCTGCTTTTCCAAATGGCACAGGAATACTATCTACAGTGACTGTACTCTGCCACCGTTCCCATCCATATCAGACAATAAGGACTTTTCATCTCCACTTGTACAAAATGCACCTTTACTTTCAATCCCTAATGCATTTGATTTCATTTATGCATATTGTGTTCTTGTAAACTACTGCTAAGGTTTTGGAGATGCAGATGGATTTGCCAAGCAGGTACTCTGGGAAAATGGTAAGTTCCACAATTCCCTGGCCATCCTCAGAAATGTTGCTGCCAATAAATAATAAAAACCCCAAAAATGAGCTGCTCTCAGGAGTTGGAGACCTTCAAGGATAACTGTGTAGAAGAGGTTTTAGCTGTATGCAAGACTTGTGTTTCTTTAACAAGGAAACGGGGCAAAAGAGTATCTGTGGAATAATCTGTTATGAACACAGCATGGTTAGGAGACATTACTGATTGCAAGAGTGCTTATATTTCTGTGGCTTTTTATGAAGTGTCAAGGCTCTAGTCTTAATTGTTGGCTGAGAGTTTTCAGAAGTTAGAGCTGAAATTCTGGCACCTAATTTTAAGTGAAACTTCCACCTTCTGACCGCAAAGCACGTTAAGACGCTTTTTCTCCAAGGGAAGATTAAGTCCAAGTGACCTTCAGGCACATGTACAGAACTTAAGATTCCCCAGCTCAGTGTATGAAGTTGCTTGAAACTAATGAGGACACGAGTAGCCCTGAGGGGCGTTGTGGTCTGGTTGCAGCTACAGGTTTTAAATAATGCCTCTGTCTAGATAGTCTTCTCATCATAAAATAGCCTGTGAAAGAGGTGAATAGCTACTGTACAATTCTGTATGTGGACTGTAAAATCCATCTTCTTAAATGGTAAAAAACTGTGGATGGGCTTTTGGTCCTTCACTACTTCTTTTTGTTTCATCAGGAAGTGCTTGCATACAGAGTAGGTGGCTGAGTCTGAAGCCTGTCTCTCTCGTGTTATGATGCCTAATTCAACTCCTCAGTCCTTTATTACTAGCCACATTTGCTCTACCATTTAATATGTTTTCCCACGTTGTTATCCACTCTGCCCCACTGGCAACCAAAGGGACCAGACAGAATGATTGCTTTTCAGGCAACTTGGAATAAAAAAAGTCTTTGATCTGTGGTCCTGCTGCTTGCAAACAAATGCACAGTGGACACAATGAGGCTGTTTGACATGTCAGAGATCTATTTCTTTTTCTTGGAAAAACATCTAATGTTCCTCTGTTAAAACCAAAAGAGAACATACATTATCTCTGTCCTGCTCTCTATTTCTTAAACAAAAACCAGCTGGTACTAGCGCTTGCCTTTAGGAAGAGACCATCAGGAAGTTGAAATATCAAATCTTGGCTCTACTTAGTTGCTAGGGTGATGTACAATTAACCAGGCTGCAGTAATGTTATAGAAAGTAAACATAAGGAAGTATTCTTGCTAATGGAAAAATTGTTTTAAGTAAGACTGAAGGGACTGAAGATTAAATTTTAATTGATCATTTGCAATTGGATGTGTACGTTTGCAATTATATTGTAATTTGATCAAAATAGTATCATTGTGGGGTCAAAAAGAAATTTAGATGAGTTGAAAGAAATAAAACAGGGTTCTGAGACATGTTATTGATGATACAGTCTTTGTAAGAGATAGGCATTTCATTGATTTGTGGGGATTTGGGGTTTTTTTTTTCCTCCTTGTTGCTAATAGGATTCTATTTGAAAAACAATACATTTCCCTACAACATATCCAATAAGAAATTAATAGAAAAAAGTTTGATTTGGAACAAATAAGAAACCAGATAAAGGCAAACCATTCAATGTTCAACTCTTGTAGCTGGTATGCAAGCACCTTTTCCAAGTGGTTATGACAGTGATGCAGAGTAATTTGTTTGTCTAAATACCTTTCTTTGAGTGGTAATAGTTAAGTTATCCTAGTGTTGTTATCTTATCCTACCTTGGAAGGCCACACATGCCAAAAGAAATTGATGTGCCGTTCCCCAGATCCATACAGGAGGAAGTTTTGGTCGTTGTGAGGTTTACGAGAGAGATGAGTTTAGTTATGGGATGCAGTAAACGAATTAAAACTGTGAAATGTTGTCTGTGAGATACTCATGTGCTGAAACGTGGGTCAGCGGTGGTGGTATAAAGATTATGTCCTTTTGGAAATCCTGTTCCTTGTAGTATCTCTCAAAGAAACACATTATGTGCAGCAGTCTGAACAGATGTACAGCATAGGGGCTGCTCAGTAAAACATAACTGGGGTAGAACCGTGAACCTACTGAGTCTGACGGGAAGAGGATTAATCCTTTAAGAACTTCTATTCATTCTCTGCATTTGGCCATCTTGTTGTTCAGAACTTTGTTTTAGACTCTGCAGGATGTTACTAAAATCAAGACACAATGTGTACTTAGTAATTGGCCCTGAGAAGCTTTTCTGTGATTTATCTTCTCTTCATAAGATTAGTGTAATGCTTTCTCTTCTAGAAAGCTAAAAGCAATAAATGACCTTCAGCTTGTTTAAAACTCTGCTATAAATACTGTCAGAGCATATGTTACTGATTAGAGTAGCAGTTTACCTGCTACGTGTCTTAATACAAATAATTCAATTGCATATTGTCATTTAAAATCCATTATTCTTTATCGAACTTACTCAGTTCTTCTGTCAGATTTTAACATCATAGTGCTTGTGTGTACTCCATGTGCATTATTCCCACTGGCTTGAGCAGAAGACAGTGAAGGTTACTCAGTTTGGCACTGCAAAGTGCTGAGCACTCTTGACTCATGTTGACTTCTCTGACAGTGGAAGGTATGCAAGGAGTATGTCTCACGGTCAAATCTTGTTTGCCATGCGCTACGTTGAGTAGAAAGATGCTCTTGAAGAATGAGCCTAAACACGTCCCTTCTGCTGTAACTTAGGACATTATCTTTCTACTTTCTGAATGACTTGTATTCACTCAGAATTGCATCTTGTGATGAAATTAGCATTGGGTAAAAATGAATTTCCTTCTCTTATTTTGTAATTTCTTGCTTTTCAGTTTGATACAGTGAACTTTTAGTTTGTGTGGCATAAAAATGTGCATAGAAGTACCAATTCATTTCCAGTAAAATGCCAAGGTAGTTCCTACACATCACATCTCTATTCTTACTGAGCAGGAGACAGATTCCTGAGGGCTCCCTCACATTTGAGCATTATGTAGAAATAACAGCTCTTGAAGCTGCAGTTACTGTCAGATTATTGATAAGGGCATGGGAAGGTTTGGCATTTTGAGTCAGAACACAAGGAAAAAATACATACATCACAGAACAAGTGATTTTGCCCATATTTGTAAGAAGAGTGCAATATTTCACCCGAAGTCTAAAATTATGCTTTTGCCTGTTTGGCAAGGCCATGTTGAAAAGGAGCCACTTCAGCAAAGCACCAATGTTCACTTTGTTCCTTCACATCTCCTGTGAAGCATTTGGTTGTAAAATGAAAGCAATCCATCCTTTCAGATTTAGCTTTTAATATTTATTTGGCAGATCAGACCTCACAAGGGGGCCCAATACCCTGAGCAGAACCACCCTTGCTGTTGTCTGACCAAGGAATGACACTGGAGCGAGCTGTGAAAGCAGCTTCTTTCCTCCATCTTCTCCACAGGAAATGCGTTGGTTGTTGCCAAGTGCAAACACTGGTGTGTTTTCACACGTTTAGATTGCTTTTAGGCAGAAAATTGTTGCAGATTCTAAGTACAGTTTTTGAAAATATGCTAATATTCAGGTAAAATTGGCATTCTTATGGTTGCTAAGAGCCTGTATCAAAATGCTATTCCACCCTGACTGCAGAATGCCTAGCGTCAGATAGCTTTCACGTTATATATCCTGTATATTACAAAGATTTGCTTGAAGCTCAGGACTTAACAAGCATAACACAGAAGGACTTTTGTACAAAGCTTGAAGAGTTAGTCCTTGGCCTTTGGCCAGGAATAAAGAATGCTTGCCCTTGTGCCATTTTGTCCTGTGCTGCTCCAGTTCTGGCAGCAGTTCTGCTTCAGTGTAATTGTTGGCACTGAAGCTCAGCTGAACCCTGAATGGCCTCTTCCTGCAAGCAAGCAGGGGCGCAGAGGTCCGAGACAGCATCAAAACTCCATATTGATCAACTGTAATAGAGGACTCTATTATGAGAATTCTTCATATCAGAGCCAAGCAAATTGACTACAGCAATGCAGTAGTAAAGTACTAAAAAAAGCCTTAAAGAGTGTGAAGTAATTTTCAGATTTTCCACTGGATAATGGAGGGGCTAAAAGAATAAGAGAACGAACAGCTCCTTCTGGGACAGTCACTGTTTTGGCTATCTATCTGTAGTTGTTGTTGATCTCTCCTTCCTATCTGTGCTAAGTAGTAGTGGAATTTTTCATTCTCGTCTGGAACATACACAGAGCATAGTCACAGCTTTAAGTGATAAAGTGTTTTTTATTATTTGCAAAGGCTTGCTTACTCTTCTTTATTCTGCTTACTGTTCTTTAAAAAAAACTTTCCCATTTCATTGAGGCAGATTTGGAAGTCAAACCAGAAACTTCAGACTCTACTACGATGGAAAGCACTTTGTTGGGGAGAAACGTTTTGAGTCCATCCATGACCTGGTGACAGATGGATTGATTACTCTTTATATTGAAACGAAGGCAGCTGAATACATTGCCAAGATGACAATAAATCCAATTTATGAACACATAGGATATACAACTTTAAACAGAGAGCCAGCACACAAAAAACATATGCCAACCCTGAGAGATGAACATGATGGCAAAGAGTCTACAGGAGAGGATGAGGTAGCAGAAAAGAGGGTAAGCAATTATTAACCCACACTCTTTTTTCTGTTAGACTTTTTATTTTATACTTCTAACCTTCCCCCTTTACTATAAAGTGCTAAAGGTATCTGTAGATATTTAGTCTACATATTTATTTCTAGTATTGCATTAATAGTAGTATTTTAACTGGTTATAGGGGGTTTTAATGGCAATTTTTGCATATTACAAATTTCTATGATTGGAGGTTAGTTATCTTCAGGTATTTTCGCATTGGTAACATAGTTGTTACCATTAAGCCATTCCTTTATTTCAAATGGGCTAAGAATATTTCACCTTAGAATTGTTTACAGTGTATAAGACAACTGCCCTTTGGCCAAAATTATATTTCTTAATATATTCAGCATTCCCCAAACAAATGCATTCCATAATCTATTCAGCAGTCTGCATACAATGACAGTAAAGTTGTCCACATCATAAATAAGCCTGTTCATAAAGTTGGTAAAATGTTAAAACATTTCACTTGGCTAAGTTCAGCCTGTCAGAAGCTGACAGAGCTTTTTTTGGCCTCAGCCAGACTTACGAAGAGGGATTGCTCTCTTCAGACAGTTGCAGTATCAGCTGAGAACTAACTGTGTCCTGGATTATAAAAGAAAAACGAACAACAAAGAAATCTTAGAACTGGTGAAAATAGAAATATTAAAGGGGGTTGGGAATGTATCAGGCAGACAGAGCAGCTTCCTGAAACTTCATTTGTGTGACAGAGACTGAACTTAAAAAGAAAACATAATTTAAATTCCATCATGTTAAACTAAATACTTTGTTTATTGAAAAGCTGACATATGAAAGTGTTTTTAAAGGTGTATGCTTACATATGTGTAGGTGTTCGTGCATGTATAACAGTCTGATATGCTCCCCTATTTCACAGACTTCAGAATGACATTAGTTATATCTAATATGCTTATAGAAGAAATGCTAACATTAGTTCGGATCATCTGTTTGTCTTTCCAGTCAGAAATATGTCTGGATTTCAGTTTTTCTTGAGGTGGAGGAAAGGTGTCTCTGACAATTTCCAACATACATGACTATTACAGTGAAACTAAGCTCCGTGCAGCATCCACAGAGAGGAGGCTCATAGCTTTGGTCCTTCAAATCGTTCTCCAGCAGTCTGTCATCCTGCACTGAATTTGCTGAGAGATGAAGCATGCAACTTAGCTTAAAGTATGAATCTTCACTGTTATCAGATCATTTTGACAAAAGAAATACTGGTGGGGATATTGAAGCTATCTGACCATGTTAAATACCCGATTTCTTGCCTGTTAGGTAGCAGTAGTAGAGGGTGAGTTATCAGTTACAGTTCCTGACAGACACTGACTTGCAGCGTGCTGTTTCAAAAGGATTTTTTTGCATATTATCATAGAGAGTTCATTATAATGCAAAGCTGGGTAAAAATCTTCTGTAAGAGTTCTGGAAGTCACTGCTTCTGGTTTCTTTGGTAAAATTAACTCTTCCTGCATTTAGCAACTTTCAGGTGACAGCAGAATTCTGTTCTGTTACAACATTTTTTAGACTGATGAAAACCTTTTTCATAGTAAAGGGATTTCAGTGGTTATTATTGAAGAATGCTGTTTTTTTCATAGATTATATGGTGTTATGTCAGACTCATCAAGGTATACATATTGTTTTGAAACATTTGTCATTAAATAGCTCAAGAAGTATTAAATATTTCTCACCGATTGAAATTTTAGGTGAAAAACCTTTAGAAAGGTTAGTCATGTACTTGCAACTTCCCACACCATTTGTCTGGAAGTTACAAGCAACTAAAGTGGCTTCATCTGCAACATAGTTGAACAGCAGTGGTGTACTGGCCTGAAGCCCAGCTTTTGAGCCTTTTTTTCTTTATTTGTCTTGGAACTATGTTGATGTGAACACAATGAGGCCCACAGACATCACAGTATAGTTAAATGTGGTGCTTTCAGTTTAATTTTCAAGTCATTATCCAATTGGGATTACTACCTGTGGCTGTGCGGGAAAGGCACAGTGTGATCTTTTTTGCTGTGGAGTAGTGCAGAGGTGCCATCTTTGCTGCCTTTACGCCTCTCAGGGTCATTGCTGGAAGATGACACAGAGAGTCCTGAGTGTCGCTTCACTCAGCACATCTCCAAGGAGAATAAGGCATTCAACCCCATGATCAACACCCGATCCCAGTGGCAACCTCAGCATTTGGAACAAGCCCCAATGTCCAGCTAAGGCTTGCCAAATCCTTTCTCTGTCCTCTGTAAGTCACAGGATGTGGGGAGCATGGGAAGGGAGAGAGATACAGTGGTGGCCTCGCTGAATGTCTCCTGGGGGGTGGCAGCTATGTGCAGTGTAGGAGTGGTGGGGAGAGGAGGCCGCAGAGGGCTTTCCCAGGTGTCTCCCATCACTGTCTGGGGCACTTGACTACTTGCACATCCACTAAAGCTGTCACCTTGACAGCCTGGGAGAACTGTTTCAGGTTCAGTGGGGTGAACATAACCAACTGGCTAGAGGACTGTACAGGCAGGTGACTGATTCGCATCTGATGTTAATTTTATTTTAAAAATTTGAAATAATGACATATATACTTGTTTGACAAATAGTTTCCATTTAAAGCATGAGTACTGGATGACAGGAAATATCTGGCTTTTTTAAAAGCCTGCATACTGAAAAAAGTTAACACGCTAGCAGCAAGGAACACAAGAGAGATTACAACTTCACTCTGCTAGTTTATAAGCTTTCTTTGGTAAAATAATAATAATAAATTAAGAAAAATAGGCATATCCTCTACTAAATTGCTCAGAAGGTAATTTTACCGCTTTTATGCAGGCTCCTGCTTCTGACTGATATTTACTTGAAAACTTCAATTAATAATAACATAATAGTTACCTATGAATCATTTAGCCATGATACAAGGAGGTTTCTTATAGGACATTTATAAATAGGTCAAGTAGTTTTTCGTTCCCTTTGGTGGAAGGGATGACAGAGTCATTCCTGTTGTCCTATATAAAGAGAGTATCACTGAAGAATGCAAAGAAAAATGTTCAAAATCCAACAAGAAGAAACATTGTCTTATGATGCAAACAGCAGAATCTGTGTGTTACAACATTAGCCCATTAGCCCCATGGTGCGGATGAAAATTTCTGCAGGGTACACTATTTGGCAATTAATGCATCTTTATCAGTTTTATACTGTAGCCACACAGCTTCTCCCTACACTGTATGCTTCCTCCTGCGTAAAGAGAGGAATAAGTCTGAGTCTTGAACATTGATCATCCTGAGCCAAAATACATTTCCAGATTTGCAGACTCTGAGGCTGTTCAGATCCAAATCTAAACTTTGTGCCTGCGACTGTTGCCCAATCCTGTGTGGGTGGTGTATGAAAGATAAACCCTTCAGAAGAAGGAAAGGAGAGACACAAAGGCTCTGGCTGGGGAACAGCTGGTGGAAATGTAGTTTTGCTTTCTGCCATAAAACCAAGCAGAGGAAATTGGGCAGCCAGAGAAAACACCTCAAACTTGAGAATGAAATATTAAAAAGAGCTTCACCTGACCTTGAATTTTGTGGGGCAATAGCAGGGAACACCACAGATTTGTGTTAGATGCCTCCCAGCATGCACAAATACCACTTTATTTGTTCCGCACTCTTTTTAGCAATTAATTTATAGTAGCAGAATTCAGCATGTGTTAGGTGAATTGTCATATGCAATACTTTAAAAATGAGTCTTAGTAAAGGGAAAAGATTTAAAAACCATAAAAGATGAAAAGACAAAAATTATGTGATTGTTAGATGAGGATTATAGGACAGAAATCACAATACTCCGAAGTACTGAGTCCTGCAAGAGACCATATTGTGGTGTGATTCAGGATGCAGTTTTTAATAGGAAAAACATGAGAAAACAATCCACTGTGCAGCATGTGCTTCACTGATTATGAGAAGGAATTTGACTGCTTACCATATATATTTAAAATTCCTGGTTAATGGTTTATGATTTTCATAACGTATGAAAGAATTAATAAATAGTCAGAGATAACTGGAGGCGTGGAGATTGAAAACAGGAGAGTGCTTGTCATGCTCGAATGCCCTGAAAGATATTTTAGCTGCTGTGCTAAAAAGGTAATGCTGGTTCCCAAAACAGTCTGCAGATTGTTCAGAACTCAGTTGTGCAGCCATCGTGGTCTGTGTGTTAACAGAGGGCTAAGATTCATTTGAAAGAGGGCTTCCCGTGTGGATTCAGCCTGTATGGCCTAGCGTGGAAGTGGAAATAATACCCAGTATCACAAGATTTACTGTTCCTCACATGACTTGAATACTGATGGATCTCTGAACATTCTCCACTCTCAAAGGTAATTATGGCCTTAGAACACATGACTTGATTCTGTTAAATACCTTATAAAAATGGTAGCTCTCAGAAATTAATAAATACCAAGACATATATCAAAGTCCTTCCTGAAATCCCTGCAAAATATGATTTTTTTCCATTTTGACATGCTTTTGAGATATTAATGTAAGAATTTGATTTATTCAAAAGTTAATATTTGTTATGAGAAAATGAAATAATCAGTTATGAGTTATTCTGTCTTTCAGAATGAAATCCTGAGGTTAATGTTAGGATAGCATCTAAATCACATTTATTCATGTTTACTTTGGTGATAAGTGCTGTTTCTTCAAGAAACTTCCGTGGGTGCAAATCAATTAAAGACTCATTTCTAGAATGTACTTCATTCAGCTCAATTCCTACAGACAGAAGGAATTGAGAGAAGGTTTGTGGCAGCTGTCACCCAACAAAAGCACTCTTTTGTTCTATTTTTAATGACCTTAGTGGTGATACTATTTTTTCCTCCATAGTGATGAAGGCTGGTTGTCTGCAACCCTGTGCAAGGAGATGTGTAAATGTAAATGTGTGTCACTGTATTAGGAAACATGCTTTTAAGCTTGCCTCCAAAGATAATACAGATCACAAAGTTAATTGCAATCTCTGTGTACATTTCTAATGGATTCATAACAGCCTCCACATAAAAA